TTTATTATTATTTTTATTTCTTATACATTCATTTGAATATTATACTCTTCTTTCTTTTTCAACCAATTTTTTTGTAGTTTCTTGTATTCCAGTAGCTTGGATTGATATACAGTAGTGATAATCTATTGGCAATAATGTAGTGAACTAGAAGGATTTTTACACAAAGATACTGTGAAGTAAAATATTGTCTTTAAGATCAAACTTAAAGGCTATTCATTATGCTTATGATGAATTAGTTAGATTAGAATAATAGTTTGACTGTAGTATATATTATGCTACTTGAATGAAAATTTACTTATGTTTTCAATTGATTAATAAACTGATAATCTAACCTGGCTACAGGTACTCAAAAAAAAAACTCACTCAAATAATATTATTAAAAAAAATTATTAATATTTTTATTAATAAATTTAATCAAATTAATAACAATTTAATTATTGAATATCATAATTTTGACTAATACAAAAGATTTATCAAATTGAATATATAGTTTAAAAAATTTTTTAAATCAAAAAAATAAAATAAAAAATTAAAAAAATTAATAATAAAATTTAAAAAACAAAAAATTATCAAATATAAAAAAATATTAATATATTTAAAAAATCAGAAATATTAAATTAAAAAAAAAAAATACAAAAATATTAATAGAATATTTATTTAAGATCTATTATAAAATAAAATATTGTTTGTAAGATTATATATAGAGATTAAAACTTATTTGAGAATTGAAAATTGTTAATGAGTAAGTTAGTATATAATTTAATTTAACCATGATATAATTGTTTTATATATCCCTATTAGTTTTCTTAATGATCAATAAATTTATTAATAAATTATTAATAACTTATTAATTAATTGTTAATTAATTAATAATAAATGGTTAATAAATATTGAATAAATTGTTAATAAAATTTTAACAAATTTTTAATAAATTTTTGATGAATTGATAATAAATTATATTATTAATATATCAATTTCTATAATATTTATTGCTAAATTATATAGGAATCAATTATTAATAATTTATTTGTATTATTAATTTGATAAATTAATTATTACTTTTTTTTTGATAAATGTTATACCAGTAACAATATATTGAATAATTTTTTTGAACTATTATATTTTTTGATTCTTTATATATTTTATCTTTAAATAAAATATATAATAAATTAAAATATAATGTATTGAAAAAATTATTTTATTTCTTGATCATAAAATATTGTATAGCAATATATTATTTGATCTTGATATCTACTTTTCTTTTGATTAATTAAAGTTATATAATTTGACTTCAATTTTTTATTCAAAAATATTTAAATCAATAAAATAATTTTTTTATATATCAATATAAATATTGAAATTTTATATTAATATAAGTATTGAAAGATGCTTTTGTACATACAGTATAAATTATATGACTTTTTAAGAATATCAATCAAATAAATTATTTTCTAGACAGTAAATATATTTATTGCAAAATAATTAACACAAAATTGAAATTTTTTTCAATTTCCTAAAGTAATTTTTATTTAAAGTATTTAATTGTGAAAATCAATTTCATTTAATTATAGAAAAAAGCTATAGGAAAAGGAATGATCAGATTCTTTGAAATCCTTTTTTATTATTAATATTAATATCATTTGTATTAATCGTACGTATTACTTGTACTGTAAGTAACTTTAATATCATATTTGAGTAATGTAAGCTCAAGACTTTAATGATCGATTCATCGTTAAGCTTGTTATATTTGAGCTTTGATATTTTTTTTGTACCTTTGTTTTTTAAAGAAGCTAAATAAATAAATACATGATCATTACGGTATGATGCATAGCGTACTGTATGTGTTATGGAAGATTTTTTTTTTTAAGAAATATAACGTTACGAATTTAAGTAAAAAATAGATTTCAAATAAAAAATTGAATTCTGCATCCATCAAGTATTACACAACCTTTTCCCTTTGATCTATGGATTTATCCTTAAAAGGTAGTATATACAGTCAAAGTTTAGTTTAAAAATATACAGTATACCAGTATACAGTATATACACCCATATTTGTAAAATATTAAAAATACAATAATACGCGGTACGTTAAAAAAAGTACATTGTACCGCATATCTTGAATGAATATTTTTAACATAACGAGGAATTAATAACTTTTCATTTTTACAATCAATCCTTGAGGCTACAATTCGCCTTCGAAGGTAATCACCAATTTGGAAATTGCTCATTGTTTCTCAGAAAATTCTTGTTTGGAAGGATCGTCGATTCTATTTTGAACCATTCAGCCATCTTATACTTTGCGCATATTGCATTTCCTCATGATGAGGTAACTACGCGTCTTGCTGTTGAATGATGGTTACCGCCATCGTCAAAAATGTCGTTATTGTCGCTGGCCGTGATTTTCTTTACACTTGGAAATACAGCCTGCATGCACTACTGAATTGCAGAAAATCATTGGACGCCCTGTTAATTATTTTTGTAGCTCGATAGAACGAATGTGTCTTAATTAAATGACGTGTTGTCTATATAAGTCCCATAATGGACGTGTATGCATGATTGATGGATATCTCGATTAAGAAATACTGCACATAGACATTTATAGGCATCCTTCTACGTTTATGCGTGAATAAACATAATCCGGTCAAAAGAGTTCGCAAACTCCAGGAAAAATCGACTATAGAGAAGAGCCAAATTAGGTGCCATTGTAGCGTGTTTATATCATCATGAGCCCATTATTATACATTTAGGTGCTGTCTTAGATGACCACTAGTGTCATCCATCGTACAAAATATGACTCGGAACTTTAATTTTACTGACAATCACACCATGGCTGAGGTGAGTTCACGACATCGCTGCTGCAATCACTTCTTTTAAACACATTTGCACCCGGAATTTATGCAATGGAATCAAGAGGTTGCGTTGGCAAGTGAGTAATCGTAAAATAAAATTCAAATGAAACGCATCAACCTTATCGTTGAATCCACTTTGCCACACGAGTTTTTGGCAAAATGAAAGCGAGAAATCGGTGGCGATGCATGATTGGTGGTTATGATCATTCTTTTTTTTTTTTTCCATGTCTTTGATTGCATCGAAATATTTATTATTGAGTCACGAATATCGTTCGCGAGGCGCATGAGTGAAATGTAATAGAAGGGATTTCATTTGTGTTTCCTTGTTACTTCGATTTCTAATTAAATTCTTATTATCTGATAATTACTGTAACTTAATTTCTCTCAAGTTATATAGTAGTTTGAGATAATGTAACGAAAAAAAAAACAAAAACAAAAACAAAAAACAAAAAAAAACATAATATTCAACCAAATTCGCGTAACTTGACATGTTTGAGGGGCACTGTTTCATGTGTGTTTCATACAATAGCACAGGCGCATTTGATCATCATCATGAAACCTGATGAAATCAGGTATTTTCGACCTTTTTGAAACGTCGTGCATACCCGGAATCCTATGGTCACATTGTGATTACGTACAAGACCTCCGTTTGCCGGTATATTGGTGCGCATTGTTGTCGAGACTACTTGTGGCAATCTTGCATTCGCGACATGATCACGTGATCCCGCCCGACGCTGGTGATTACTAATTTGAGGCAAGAAGGGAATTCCAAGCATACCAAGGTCGATGATATTGCTCTCGGTTTTTTGTCTCTTTTTAGTTAACAATATACCACGAAACGTAAAGGAATGTGGACATGTGATCGGATTTTACGCAATCGTTACAGGCGGGTACGATCACAGTGTTAAGTTAAATCCTAACTCAAAGACTATGCTTCAACTCCGCACCAATGAGGTGTCGTCCTTTAATTGTCGTACCCTATGAGATATTTCGCAGAACAATGTCTATCATCGACACAAGGGTAAAGTCAAGCAAGATGGTAAACATGTTCTCCGTGATGGTAGCTCAATTCTCTACAAAGACTGACCCGGACCAAACAATGATCTTGAAGAAAATGGCGATTTCTAATTGCAATAGTCTCACGGTTTCCTCGTGCCCTTGTTCGATTTCTCCGGGAATGGCAATTGAAGGCAATTAAGTCAATATTACTAAGCTTTGGAACAAGGATGACTCAAAGCATGATGACATCTTGAGACCATATGATTCTCCTTGTCCGTCATTCCTTTGTTCCACCATATTACATAAATGAATTTTTCAATAAGCCCATATGCGTCGGTCGTGGTTCTTGAAAGGAATAATTAGCGTTGCGCACTCACGCCGCCATGCGATTCCGCACACATTACTAATTGGAATTTTCAAATGCATGTATATTGGTCAAAGTCGTTCCAGCGCAATGATAATAATGATTAGGGAAATTTTGGTCACAAGTGGTTTCTTAAAATCACAATGATAACAAAAAAGAAGTCATCGCATTAAAACTATAAATAAAGTTGCATCAATATTTACTTTTTCAATTTCATTGAATGATTCTGTTTCATTACATGAAGGACCGAATACGAAGGAGAAAGAGCACACGACCTTATTGTAATTCGGAATCAAGTGTGAAAGCAAAAATAAGATGATAATGCCGATTTGGAAACACATTCACGTACTTGTTTTGTCGAAAAATTGATGTGATACCTTAGATTGGTGATATTTGACTTATTGAACTCGGGTATATTGTACCATTCACGAATAACACGGAAAGGCCCTCGTTTTTTTTTTTTGACTGTGATTCAAGTAATTCATTTATTTCCGTTTTACCTGTGCGCGATGAACTCCAGGCGGTTTCCTTTTGATTTGATATCAAGGACACACAAAGATGATTCAATAACAAGAGAATTACAAATTACGCTTCACCTTTTCTGAATCCGTGTAAAACATAAAGGGCAGTTCCGAGCGTGGCGCATGATTAACGCTAGAGCGATGCGCAAAATGGCCGATTGGGGCAAAGATCGTATCTTCATTACGTACGCACATGCTTGTTAGCTGTACCCGGTATCCTATTGTACCTGCGCTATTGTGATGCGTGACGTCCACGAGTGCCACACCCTACTACAATGTATGTGAGCGTTGTTCCGGAGATTGATGCGGTAGATAACCATGACTCGTAATACAGGAGATGTATAATTTGCACGTCATATATTACGCGACCGTCTCAAGCTCTTGCAAAGTGCGCACTCGGAAGTGCATTTCCGAATTTGGATGTTAATGTCTATTCCATCTTGTCCAGTCCTGAGGTGAGACTCTTTGAGAAGGGTTTGGCAGTGTTATTTTTAGTTGTTGAAATGAGGTTCCGTGTTTAATAAGATTGCGGTATAATATCGTCAGCATTTAATTGGTAAGAAAGTGAGACAAGGAACATTCAGAGTACTTGGCAATAGACGTATGAATGCTAGCTAAAGAAGGTCATTGCTTCGTGGGATTACGTATGCCAAAACAGGTCCATTACTTGTTTATTCATCCATTTCCTCTAAGCCACAGGCATAAAAATATAATGCTTCTTGAACCTGCGGATCCATTCCATTTTCCGCCTTCGATTCGTTCAAGTAAGTTCGCAATCCTAAAATGAATCTTTTTTTTTTTTTCTTGCACGGCGCTGGAAGAAGAATAGAAAGCTATGCGATGACCCGTGTTCGGGGATAACGGAGATTGGTGACACAGAGTGGACTTTCAATTTGAAAGCTTATGCGTAAACCGCAAATGAGATGTGCATATATGTTTACATCGTAAGATTAAAGAGAATCTCTTGATTTCTATTAATAATTTCATTTCTAGTATGAAAAATAAACTAAATTGAGGAGCATCATGACATCGGCATCTACTGCAATGAGCGTCATCCCTCGTCAAAAGGTGCATTAAGGTTATGCAATTTTTGGTTCTATTTATAAATCGAGGAATGTGCGTTAAAAATATTTTTTTCATTTTGTAATTTTGCGAACTCTCCTTAAATGATGGTGCTCATTGTCATCATCCCGTGAACCATCGTTCTTTTCCTTTAGAAGGAATTCTTTGGTTCTACCAGCAAAAACTGAGCAAGATCATCGGATAAGTGGACGTGCGACAATTGGAATTTCGAGATGCCCCCCCCATTTTGGAAAGATTGATGCTCTTTTTTGGTTTTAGGATAGCGAATGGTTTGAAGCACAACATTTATAAGGGTGCCACAATGTTAGCAAATATGGTTGCCATCCGCCGCCAACATCTTCTGCCATCTCTCAGATGCCCAAAGAATTATGTCCGCCAATTTACCTCAATAGGTAGTGGTGCAAAATGGTGTCAAGTGCGAGTGCCTTCTTCTTTCTTCCTTTTTTCTTTAAAATATATATATATATATATGTATGTATGTATGTATATACTGTATATACTGTACATACGTACATATATACATTATTGTTGTTATTAAAAAATATCAGAGATTGCAGGTTTGACCCAATCGCCGAGAGTATGCAGCGAAAATTTGAAATCTTCCTGCGATACAAATAACAAATACACCCGGTTCGGTTTTTAACAATCATATGTAAAGATCGGCAGATCATCTGACACTTGAATAGCGTTAAAATTGTCGAATTGAAACAATAATCGAAACCATCAAAAGCAAATAGCAGAGGGATACGGTGTGTCGTCAATCATTAAATTTTTATTTCAGAAAAAAAAAAAAAAGGGCAAGAAATTTCCTGCGTCAAGACATTTCTAAACACATTTCCCATTACGGAAAATATCAACGGGGAAGGACCTTTTTTTTTTTTCTCTCTCTCTCTTAACTATGTTCAAATTTAATACAAAAATAAAGTTATCAAAGGCGAAGTACTATAATAACAAAGAACGAAAAAATTTACAATAGAAGGGTATGTATACGTGTAGAAAATTTCTAAGAGTGAATAGATACAAAAAGAAGAAAGGAATGACTAGTTGACTTGTCTATTGAGATCCATCCATATGCGTCGCGGTGGCGAACATGACCAGCTCAAAAATATGATTACCAGAATCTTAAATGAAGAGAAACCCCGAAACAAAATTCGCTACATCAAATATATACCGAAACTGAAAAATAAAAAGTTCTAAAGAGAAAGGGTATGTGTTCGATCTGTACAAGAGGGATTCAAATTGATGATAATAACAATAATAATAAAGATATTAACAGGTTCCTTTCGACGTCTATATACTGTATATATATATATATATGTATAGGTTTGAGTGAATGCTATATGCGTGAAAAAAAAAAAAAAAATAAATTGAAGAGTCTTTATAAATACTTGAAAGTGTGAAGGAATGATGTTTAAATAGAAATGGTCTGTAAAAATTTTTTTTACTCGGAAATCTATATGCTCTTGTCTATCTGAGAACTAAGATCGATTTACTTTTTAGCATTTTTTGGTGATGGACCTGTGCCCTTTGCGTGACCGCCGAATCCACTTCGCCTCGCTGCACCCTTTCGAATGGTGGTGAGAGCGGTCAGACCTTCTGTCGTGGTTCCAATGGCGGTGCCGTTGACAGCCGCGGCAGCAGTTAATTTTGCGCCTCCTCGCCCGAGCCTCTTTAGTATCTTTCCTTCCACCAATTTACTCTTAAGTTTATCCACCAATTCTTTTAGTTCTCCATTTTCGGCTTTTAATTCTTCGTTTTGCCTTCTCAGTACGTTGTTCTCGGCGTTCAATTCATTTATTTGTACGTTCATCTCTTGATTCTGTTTGTGCTTCTTTGCGCGATACTTGGCGGACGCCACTTTGTTCCTTTCCCGGCGTTCGGAAAGTGAGAGAGGCATGACCATGTTGGTGGTTGCTATCGTGTTCATATAGGAGCTTTGATCCTCCAGTTGAAGTGGTGAGGAAACTGATGAGGTTGGGGAGGGTGTGGTGGGTGGTGGAGAGTACTGGTGCAACGGTTTAACCGAAGAGACCGGAATGATCGGGACGGGAGTTGGCGATGTCAGAGGTGTGGGTAATAATTTGTATGAGTCAATTTCCATACCGGGTTTTTGTGGTGATTGATGAACAGGAGGGATGCGCATAAGTTGCGGTGGAATAGGCAAAGGAAGCGTTGGCGGGGATTGAGAGTATCTGTTGAGTCCCCCTTGCAACGGAGAGGTCGTATGACCACCGTGTTGCAATATCGTTGAACCTGTCAGCTTGGTGGGAGAAGGTGCCCTTGAACTACCAATGACACTAGGTGAGTAACGACCTTCAGAGGATCGAACCGGTTCGACCAATAATTCTTGTACTGTGAGTCTTCGTCCACCAGGACTAACCTCTCCGCTTACATGATTCCCTGGATAACCGTGATGCCCAGCAGTGTCGGTTATGGGAGGCAAAATTGTTGAAATTTCCGTCATCTTTTGAAAAGTGTTGTGAGAGAGGTATGTCTGGATGATCTCGGTGCTTTCTTGAGAGAAAAAAGAAATGTTTATTATTGTTATTGTTTTGATTCCAGAATCTGTGCGAAATTCCCTGTGTTTTTATAGCAAATTTTGTTTGGGTTTTTTTTTTTTTTTTTTTTTTTTTTTTTTGTATAATAATAATAAAAAAAAAAAAAAAAAAAGAAAAGAAATAGAGTTGAGTTTGGACGTTGATTGAACCAAGTGTGTAAATATAATGTTCTTTTATAATTTAATTTGTCCTTAGAGTGTAACGGTGACTGTGATAATTCAAAAAAAACCATTCGGGAGAACAAGTTTTTTCATCCTACAATAAATTTATATGCTCTACTTAAAATTGTCCTAGTAACGAGTAAAAAAAATTTTTTTTAGAGTATCATCATTAATACTCGGATTACTAGCCACAGCGGTGACGACTAACGAAAAAAAACTCAATTGTTCACATAATTTTGACGAAATGTTATTGTCCTATTTTAGATGAGAGCGGTACAAGGGGTTATTACATCGAAGGTGTGGCTAAGCAGTGGTCCGAGAATATGGATCTCGGGTGTGATCTACGGAAGATTCGACATTCAAACAAGAACTCACCTAAGCCACAATGATACACTGGACGATAGATTTTAATGCGGAAGGTTGAAAAGGTTTCTTCTTTCAAAGAAAAGATTCTGGCATGTTCTCTTTGCATGGGAGGCACCGATGAGTCATCTGGTAATTATTTTGAAACACTATCAGGCTTTTTTTGTAGCCGGGGAATAATGCCCTTCCAAATTCGGCGAAATAACTGACAATGGTGGCTATGATATCACAATGCATGCATGGCGAAAATCTGGTTTAACTATTATATGATGCTAATTTTAGGAAGGATGTCCTTGGTCTAAAGGCCTGGATTCGCTTTTAACTTTAACAATAGCACTAGGAGTAAATAGCGATCACCCTTTTATTTTTTTCTTTCTTTTGATGGTGGGAGGGGATTGGGATGTACGCACTTTCAGGTTAATTTCACCAAACCAACGCCACCATTCGTGGTCTGACCCTGAAATTCTGAAACAATAAATATTTACTTCTTTGTAAAAAAAAAAAAAAAAAAAAAAAAAAAATTCTGAATTTTCTTTGTGTCCGAAAATCGGGAATTTTCTTCGATAAGTAAATAAATGGCCCAACCATGGTTAATCATGTGGTGCATATGGCGTGTGTCCAAGGAACTGCGCCAGAAAGATGCCATTCGCGTTTCCACGAGGTGTATCGCGCAGAAAACTTATACCATCATCAGGTGCCATTGATAGCGTGATCGGGTTTGGTCATGAATGCGCATCCTTTGTTTATCTCCATGTTCCTTCTCCGACCAACGGCAACTGCACCTGACTACCTGCTCGTTACCTTCAATCGAACGTGCGTTCCCTTTTTTTCCATCCTTGGATTTCTATTGCAATCTTCACCTATTCACTGTACATCCTTCATATAACAAAACTACTCCGCATTCGGAAAAAGTAAACACAAAAAAATTTTTTTCTTTGGCGTAATTCGCTTCTTTGTAACCGCTGAAACACTTCCTCTCCGGATGTCTGTTCATCATTTGATCATTAATGCATAACAATCGTCACAATTTCCTTCTAAATATATAATTGTTTGTGTTTGTACCTGTACCACGTTTTTTTAGGACAATGTTCGCGAGGAATAAAGTTTGCGCGTGGTTACGGAGCATTACGAGAACGGGGATGACAAGGTTTCGCATTAGGTTTTAACTTCTCTCATAATAGCGGGCGCTTGACTTCATCGGCACGTGGCGCACATCATCATACGATTATCACAATGCCTTGAATCTTAATCGATTCATGTCGTCGCCGTGGGTGATCAACAAAGTATAAGATTACATGCTAGTACCATTCTGGGGGGGGGGGGCACAGGGATACAAAGAAATTCATCAGAATATTCACACTTTGGGGAATTGTTCTTTCTTGGTATTAAAAAAAGGAGGTGACAACCTGGAGAAATTGGCTGTCCCTGCATCCACGCATTAAACAAAAGGTGAGTCATAATGCGCCTTCGGTTGAAAGAACAAAACCCATCGGAATTGTTGCTACAATATGCCGCATGCCAATTCTATCCTCCAACGATGAACAATTGATTGACGAATTGCATCATTGATCTTATCACAATTAAGATGTTGACCCCATTATAATTTGGTACGCCGGGGTGCTAAACGAAATTCAAGATGTCCCTACAGCTTTGGCGGGTTCACCAGTAAGGTGACCCACACCTACGGAACTCATCAGACTATCAACAGGCAATTGCATTCCGCATTCATGGCCGTCCTATTACGGTCGTATGCACACTATACCATACATTTGCGTGTCAATTGCGAGGATATCCTAGTCTGAAACGGAGAGAGGACACGTTTGACGAAAGAAACATGACTTTTTTTCTTGTAAAAAACCATTTCTAAAAATTATACTTGCAAAGCTCCACTATCCACGGGTCATGTGTTATTTAAGGGGTTGACTTTTGCTAGTTTCATGTTACCACCAACACGCATGCATTCGATTATTTGCGATATTATTAGAACCAAGATTATGACGAATATGCCTGGTGAATTATGGAGTCCAAAAAACAAAACAAAACAAAAAAATCCGACTGAACTACACGAGATTTATTTTTAGCATGATCCCAGGTTACCTGATAGGACAGGCGCGTAGCTATTTGCTATTTACATGTAAAAAGAGAAGAATTTTTCTATTTTTAATATATTGCACGAATTTCGGGCGCACCAACGATTGGTAAGATTCCAAGGGACATGTGCCTCCAAAGAGAATCCTAATGACGTACCGAAGTCTAAAAAATTTTTGGCGCATGATGACAGCTTTTACTTGGAATGCTTGTCAATGCAATGTAGGTTAAAGAGTGGTAGAAACGATTCTTCCACATGACTAACTGGGGTTCACGTACTGTATAAACTTAAACAGGAAGTTTGAGATTTATGTGAACACCATCGCTTTGCAATGCAGAATGCTAACGTCGTTTCAAGTTAAACGTTGTTCCCTCGTGAAACCGATGGCGCGAAACATAAGGAGAGGTGAAAGGTCGTGAGAACCCGTAAACATCGAGGTACAGACGATATCCTTTGATCCATCCGTATGGCGATGTGCTGTACAGTATGTGCAAAGAGGATACCTACCGCTTGTCGAGATTATCAAGATGTTTCAGATTCACCTTCAAATCGCGAATTGGTATTATCAAACCGGTATTGTTCTTAAATTTTCACATTAGACGCGAGTTATTGCAACCTTTTGGGGGTGCTCGTGAATTACGTCTCCGTTAAAGTCAATGTATGTTACAATTTGTTCGTGTCCCACAACAGATCTCACGTCCCTCGATAAAACATTTGCCTGTTCCGGATCATCCTGAAGGTGCGTGCATCCAAGTTCATTGATCAATTCAGTCGTGTAAACTCTTTCCTTTGTTGATGCGACACGGGGGGGTGTAGTTGGTCTCTTCGAACAAGAACTTTCCTTCTCTCCAATTGGTTTTCACGTGAAACGATAAACAAAGCCTACCAAATTTTACCTAAAGCAAAATAAATCACATGGTCTTATAAGAAGTCTCAAACAGTAAAATCATATAATACATGCTAATACATGCTGTGTGTGCGCATGCATAAAATCAGAATCCATGGGTCAAAGGAAAGCTAATCTTAATACGGAAGAACGAAAGATCAGAGTGATCATATACGTACTGTATATAGTAGCTACCTCGAATTCGATATTGTGGAATTTTTTTTTTTTTCCTTCACGAAGTTAGAGCCGTGAACCTTTTCGACATAACGTCGACGACGTAAAATTTAAACAAACACCCTTTGCGTATGGCGTCACACATCCAACGGTTCTCGGCTTGAATGGCGGGTTGTAGTTAATCCGAGTTGGCAGATTGCCTTTATGGTCTAACAATAGATTTTTGCATTTGCCTCGTCACAAGCCTCATTTGCGACGAGTCCCGTCACATCTCGGCATCATCTCGATTTTCATATGCTTTGTAAACCAAAACGAGAACTGTTCATTGCTTTCCGTAACAACATCACACTTGGCACGAGACGGACCGTCACGAATAGATTACAATTCTGAAGACTAGCACATTTGGAATTGACAAGGTCACAATTTAGTGAAGGCCATCAATGCACGTAACACTAATTAAGTCGAGAAAGAGGTATAAATGGGATGGCTACAGTATGATGTATGTACGAAAAGAAAATCAATTCGCCCGACAAACATGCATCGATCCTTGTTATCGTTGGCAGACTTCTTTTTTTTTTTTAAGATGAACAAGTGGAACCCAATAAGCAAACACTCTTGATTAGACAATACGATCACCCATTGGTGAAGCTTCATAGTATTTTCCCGATTTGTACCATAGCATCCAAATCTGATAATCGAAAATTAAACAATATCTACAGTGTATTCCTTCTTAAAGATAATAATTTGCATCTTGCATCATGGTTCTACAACGATTATTTTTTTGGTTTGTGTAATTTTTGTGGGTTACCTAAATTGACTACTTTGGGAGATTTGTTACCTTTTGTTCGTCCGAGCCGTTGGTACCTGTGATGATAGTAATTTCCCAATTTCGCCACTTTCTTTAAAAAAAAACTAATAAATAATTTCTATTTGCGTGAATCAAAATTGAAATTCTGCTTCGCCTATTTTATGTGAAAGTATATTTGGAGAATGATACTTTCAACCAACGAGTTTCTTTCCTACAAAGTTGGTTTGCAGCACTTGCGAAGGATGAATTCGTAAGCTCGAACTAACCTTCTATGTTTATCAAGAATTCCATGACGCGCATCAAAAACATGAACGAGTTGATCCTTTTAATAATAGTAATTTCAGGACGATTCCATAAATGACAAACTGATGGATAATTTGCAGAATCCTTAATATTTTTCATAAACATGACGCGTGAACCCACAC